GTGTAGAAAAATCAAGTGTGTGTGTAGAGAGACGAATGGAGAGACTGACGGTTAGGGACTCAGCACGTTGCACCGATCAAGAACATATGTATATATACCTGATGGGGTTTGTCGTGCATACTTTTGCCTGTTACATATATTTTAACGAGATCCTTGTTTTCAATAAGACGATCTTTTATTTTAAGAGTGATTGTTCTTCTTTTACGAGTGATTCTTCTGTTGCGCTGAGATAAATATGTTTCTTAGATTTCATCTAGTTATGATGTTACAGATCCTTAAGTTATATAAGCTCATGACAGCTGTCTTCCAGTTAAATAGTAATACAAATATAATATAACCAAAAGAATGTATTCGCTTTTCAATACCTGTTAACCCCTATCATCGCTTGACTACCCAACTTTATCCATTTATTCCATTTCACTTTTCCCTTAAATAAAATAAAATTCACATATATTTTTTTAAATTAAATAATTTTCAATTTTTATTTCGCATTTCACAGTTGTCTGCCATTTCGAAAATTGCCAGTGTTGAGAAGCACGCACTCATGCAGTGTTCTTGTTGCCTCGACTTCTCTGCAAATTTTCTCACACTTAAAGCTAATTTCATAATACATTAAATACTTATATTTTGTTTTTGTTTTTAAATTCTTGAAATAATTTACTTAATTTTCGCTTTTGTTTTTCGGTTTTTAAATTGTATTAACTGTTATTGATTTGATTTGATCTAAGAACGCCTCGCACCAGTGTTGGCAAACGTTTCAATTTTCGAAGAGCTAATACTACACAATAATAATAATAATCATAATAATAATAATGTTTATAATTAGCTGCGGTCAACTACTTATTTACAAAATACGCGCACGCATTTATGTTAATTTTTTTTTGCATACAGAACTGGGCTGGCCATGTTGTGGGCGTGGCGTTTGTCTAAAATGAATAAATATTGAAACTGTGTAAATAGAATTATTTGTTTAATATTCCTTTTTTTTTTTCTTTTGTATTTGCACTGCTCTAAGCTAGAACTCTTGTCATGTTTTCTCACTGTTTACATATACATATATATTTATGTATATATGTATATATAATCCTATATATATTATAGATTGTGTTTTAAATATTTATATGTTTTTACGGCTACATCAAATATTTGGCAATTAGTTTTTGTGGTTTTGTAAAATGCGCAAAATTAAATGCAAATCTGCGCTGTTTAATTTTTCATTTTTAATTTTTTTGTTTATTGTATTTTACTTGTATCCTAGTATTTATTTAAACACAGAATATTTTATATGCATATTTAATATTGCAAACTTTGTTTTTCTCTTTCTGCTTGCCTTTGTTTCTCATGTTTTTCTTGTTGTTTATTTATATGTACAGCGCAATTAAGTTTAATTATTGTGTGTTCATGTTGTCTGTCTGATGTTTTGTTCCGGATTGTTTTACATTTCTGGCCATGTGCAATTATGCGGCTTTATTTATGCGCACAGCCAAGGCAACTTAACTTGGCCAAATCGCTTTACCACTGCCCCACTTGATGGCCAGCTACAACCATTTAGCAGGCAAATAATTATGGGCCGGACAGCGTCTCTTTATTAACTTTCCACAGTGCTGTACTGGCGCCCGGAATGTGACCCAAAAAGTGTCAAATATCGAATTAACTCATTTGAGTTGTTGTTGTTGCTGCCTGGCGACAATTTTCTGCTCGCACGAAACTGAAAAGTTTTCGCAAGTAAATCTTGGCCAGCTGCGCATGTCATAAGCAAGAGAAAACCTTCATTAAATTTGACAATGGGCCGCCTTCATTGTAGTCCAGTTTTTCTGCTTTACTGGCAGAAATTGCCGTATATAAAAAAGGGGATGTCTGTCCGTTCGTCTGTCTGCCCATCTGTCCGCCTGCCTGACACTTGCCCACTTGGAAGTTGGAAGTTGGAACTTCCTTAATTAAGATTTTGTGCGTTCAACGCAATTCTTGCTTATTTTTGCCCTAATCCCCTGAACCGGAGCCCGAAGTCCGGAGTCCAGTGTCCAGAGTCCAGAGTCCGTTGTCCGTAGTCCGTTCTCCGTAGTTTGTTGGTCAGCATTACTTTAATTGTTGTTAGCCCGCTTTGCTTCACATTTCGCTTTTGTGGCCAAAAATAAATCCTTCTGAATTGCTTGAGACGAAACGCTTGAACGCCTTCCATTGCCGTTGCCGCTGCTGTTGCTGTTGCTGCTGCTGCTGCTGCTGCTGCTTGTAGCTCAAACTGTGCCCAAACCCCCAGATACATTTGTATCCGCATCTTTATCTATCTTCCTGTTGCTGCGGCTCTTGTGTTCTTCTTGTGTATTCCAATTACAAAGCCACAAAAAGTTGAAAAACTGTGCAATGACTGTGGCTTTCGCTCCCCCTTTTGCCGCCCCCGTCTGCGGCTCGCACAAGATTGTTGCACAACTTTTTATCGTGTCTTAATGTAATTGTTGTGTTGCACCCCCAACCCGCGCCCGCTTGTGCCGGAGTCGCCCTCATGAAGTCGTTGCTTGTAATTTGATTTGCTGGCACATTATTTTGATGTCGGCCCAGCCCTGGCCAGAGCAAGGCCAGAGCAAGGCGTGTGTGCTCCATGCTCCGCACATTGCCATTTTTCACATATCTTTCAAATAGTTTTACAACATCTCACATTTGCTGTGGCGGATTAGTCGTCTGCCCATTTGGCTGGATTTACACCATATGCTCTCTTGGTCAATTTATAAATTGAGGCCAAGAGGGCGGCTGTCGAATGAATCGACAAGTGCCAAATAACAGTAAATGGGGTGCCGCACGAGGTTGTACAAAGCAATTGCCCGGGCAGCTCTTAAGGGTGTCAATACAAAACAGAAATCAAATATATCCTAAAGGAGTTTTCTTTCTGGACCAAGTGTGCTTGTTGCTCCAGGCTCAAGTCCGGCCCAGACGAGCCAAGCCACGTCGAGTCGAGTCGAAATTTTCATTAAATTGTTCAAAGTGGGTTAAAGATCTGCTGAAGCAGTTGACTTTTAAAGTCCATTAGCAAAGAGCGTCGTTGCCTGAAGATGAAAATCTATCAAGAGTTTTATTTCGAGTGAGAGCTAAATGCGTTTTACACTTTCCCCCCATCCACTTGGTTGCCCAACATTTTGTAATTACTTAGTCCGCATGCTCCACTAGTCAGAGCCTTAGTTAGTAGTTTTCAAGTGCCAATATAGAGCACGAAGGAATGCCAAAGCATAAAGGAGTGAAGAGTTTCGTCTCTTAAAGTTTAATAAGTGTTGTTTGCTTCCTACACAGAAATAGAATTGAGAGAATTTGAACTTAAAAATAAATATAAAGTAAATCGAAATTTGTTGATTTATATGAAAAGAGACATCATGCAACATGAAAGTATCTCAAGGTAAAGTAATAGTATCTGAGAAACGAATAAGAATAGTTTTACTTATATGCCGTGACAATTGAATGAAACTGTACAAATTTAAACTGCGGCTCTAAAGCATCTTGTGGTACATTCAAATATCTCATATATATGAGAAGTTTCTGCCAATTTGATAAGAAAAGTATCTGTGAGATTTATAAATGTTTAAAAAAAGTAATTCATGTTTTTAAGAGAATATATTTGTTATTGTGTTGTATATAAATAATATTGAAAAGTATCTCAAAAAGGGCGTGCAAAAGTATCTGTAGGATGAACTAGGATTTTTATTGTGAATTTGAAGGAGATTCTTTGCTTTTAAGAATATACGAATGGAATATACTGTGACTCTCAGAGTACTTACAGTACAGCAGTTAAAAGTATCGTATGGCACAAATAACCATCTCATAAATATGAAAAGTATCTATAGTTTTTGCAGGCAAAAAAACGTATCTGTTATATATAAATATATATTTATGAAAAGGAGTTAGTTTCATTGTTTTCAGTACTCATATTAAGAGTATATCAGAAGAGTAAGAGTATATTAAAAGTATCTCAAAATTATTAAGTATCTCAGGGATTGAAAAAGTATCTATGAAAACGAGTTTAGTGCTGTAAAAAAGTTGCGTGAATTTAAAGAATATTATTGCCTTGTAGCATAATTTATATTTACTTGAAAAGCATGACAAATATTTCAAAATTGAAGAGTATCTGCAGACATAAAGAAAGTATCTAGAAGATATTAAAATGTTAAAAAAAATAAAAAATTTGTATTAATTTTTAAAGAGAACATATGGAAAATCGTCGCTACTTCCGAGCTCCTCCTCGCATTACAAATGGGGCTATCCAAAGCACATAAAAATGTTCCTGGTGAAATTATGGAAATTGCCGCTTGATCTGGACATCTGCTCACAATTAACAGCACCAGCAAATTGAGACTTTTCCTTTTGGCGGAGCTCGTTATGGCCGATTGGAACGGCTCGAGCCTTTAGCAGCTGACTTTTGGCCATAAACTAAATTGTTATTTAATACTTTATCGATATATTTCATTTTTATATGCATGACTATCAAAGCACTTAATCTTGGCCAACGGACAGCCACTTATGCACACATATAAAGTTAACTGACCAACACACACACACGCACACACTTAAGCTCACACAGATACTCAAGTTGGGGCTTTAGCCCTGGTGTAAACTGACCCAAATACAACCACAAGATGGACATCAAATCGAGGGCCTTGTTGCGAATGGTTGATGGTGTGAGGGGGCAGGAGCTGGGGCTGGTGAGGTGGGTGTTGCCTGATGGCCCATAAAATGTAGCTGGCGGTGGCTATTTGGCTGCTCTTGGCTATTTGGCTGCTGGCCGCTGCACGCGGCGTATACGTAACGAAACTTTATGACAAATTGTTGCTGCTAACCTAGACACTAAGATGCCTGCCACGTGTGTGGCCACGATGAGCCATAAATCAAACGAGACTCGGCGAACATAAATATATATATGTACATAGATATATATATAATTAAATATATGTACCCAGTATATGTATATAAAGATGTATGTGTATATATGTATATATCTATTTCTATGCTGCTGCTTCCTCTTTGGTTTATGACTCATTTTGGCCCGTTAGCTGCGGGCTGTGGCTTAAAACTATGCAGAATCTTTTCTATATATATGTATATATGTGTTTTGTGTGTGTGTGTGTGTGTTTGTTTATTTGCCCTTGATTCACTGGAGTGTTGCGTATTGTCGCTGTCCAAAAACGGTTTGTCACCAGATGCCCAGCCGGCGTGTGCTGGGCGCCATCAGCTTGCTGCTCATCGAGCGCAGCGTTGACGCTGACGTCGACGTGGACGTCTGGCCACTGCCCAGCTGTGGGGCAGCAGCCGCAGCTCTATGTGTGCTGCTGCTGCTGCTGCGTCTGTTGCTGTTGCCCAGCAGCTCCATGGGCAGATGGGGCATGCCGCCGGCCGCAGCCATGGGACTGCTGGGCGCCATCTCTATGTAGTAGCTGTCCTCGTTGCTGGGCGAATGGAGACTGCTGCGACTGCTGCCGGAGGAGCAACCGCTGCCAYTGCCACTGCCACTGGCGGAGCTGTCCGCTAGAGAAGCGCTGTAGAACTGCAGCTTCTGCTGCTCGCGCTGCAGCTCACGCGCCTGCAGATTGTGCAGCGGGGAGCTGTAGGGCGCCTCGCGCCTGGTGCTGTGATGCCAGGCGCTCAAACGTGCCGGATCCGTCTGGCCGGAGCCCTGATAATGCAGAAAGCTGTGCACATCGTCGTTCTCATTGAGCTGGCGCTGGTGATGCGGTCGCTGGTGTCCGGCGCGCGGTCCACGCTGCCAGGGCAGCTCACAGCGATAGACGTGCGCGAGGCCGGCGAGCAGGACAATCACCAGGATGCAGACGAGCAGCAGCATCAGGCCGGGATGGCTGCCATTCAGGCTCTGCTGTGGGTGAAGGCGCGTGGCCAGCAGCTGGGCGGACTTGGAGGCTTCCGTCTTGAGCTCCACAAACGCCTTCAGCTGGGCGAATGTGCTCAGCTCCTGCTTAAATGCGTTCGGCGTGTTGACGCTGCTGTGTTGATGCTGTGGCCGCGTGGATGTTGCTGTTGTTGCTTCAGTTGTTGTTGTTGTTGTTGTAGTTGTTGCTGCTGCATGCTTGGTGCTGTAGGTCATCTTCTTAATGCTCAGCGAGGGCTTCTGCTTCTTCTTCAGCTTGGCATGCTCCAGCTCCAGCTGCTGCTGCTGCTGCTGCTGCTGCTCGGCATGAGCTCCAGTCGCCTTTGTGTCGCCCTTTATTGCTTCCGCTTGTCGCTTATCAGTCGCTTCCTGCCGCTGGCTGGCAGCCAATGTTTCCGCATCCGCCACAGTTGCCGTTCCGGGCAGCAGCAATTGCTCCGCATCTATCAGCAGGTTGTCGCCCTTGTGCATCAGCAGCGGCGTTCCAATTAGATGACGATCTTTAATATGCAGCTGCAGCGTGGCATGTTTATGCATCGGCTTTGCCTCCTGAGCAATGGTTGTTGATGTTGCTCTTGTAGTTGCTGCTGTTGCTGTTGTAGTTGCTGCTGTTGCTGTCTCTTTTAATACACTCTTGGCCAGTTTTTGTTTGTTTGCCATGTCAGAGCTTATAAGCGCCAAAATTGTTTGTGGCACCGCAGCAACATTGCTAATGTTTGTTGGCTTGGCCAGTCTAGCCGGCGCTCCCTCTGCTGCTGCTGCTGTTGCCGTTACCGTTGTTGTTGTTGCTGGCGACGTTGTTGAGCTGCTTGCCAAAATGCTTGTGCGTTTGGCAGCGCGCTGCAAACTTGGCACGCCAATGGCTGTGGCGGTTGCTGCTGTTGTTGCTGCTGTTGCTGCTGCTGTTGTTGTTATTATTTCGGTTGGCATGCCAGGCATTTGTTGGCGCTGCAGTTGAGCTAACGAAGTCGTTTCAGCTGGCCCTAAAGTTTTTGTGGTTAGCAGCGCGATGTTGTTGCCGCTTGATTGCATTGCATTTGGGTGAGCTGCTGCTGTTGCTGTTGTTGCTGCTGCCTTTGACTTGTGCACTTTTGGCATCGTTGTTGGCATTGTTGTTGTCGCTGCTATGCCGCAAGTGGGCGGCATTGATTTGGCCAGCTGCTGCACAGCCTCCTCGTCTCCGGTGGCCAGTTCATTTGCCACGCCCCCGCACGCTGGGCTGAAGCTCTCGTAAAAGTTGGCCAGCTGCACGTAGCGTCGCTTCAGATCGATGCGGCCCATGGTGCGGCCCAAATCGACACTGCGACAGGGACTGGCCCATTCGGCAATGCCCAGCAAATCGCTGCACCGCACGGGATTGTCCTCCAGCAGGAGATCGCGCAGCTGGGGCAGCGTGTGCACAATCGCCTGACTAACGGACTCAATGCCCGCCGACTGCAGATTGAGCGTGAGCAGCTGGGGCAGTGGCAGTGCCGGCAGGAACATCAAGCGATTGTTGGACAGATCCAGGGTCTTCAGATTCTTGAGGCCAGCGAATGCCTGCGGCTGCAGCTCCATGATGCTGTTGTGCTGCAGAAACAGATGCTCCAGCGAGGTGGGCAGACTGTTCGGCACATGCATCAGGCTATTGTGATCGAGGAACAGCAGCTCGAGCAGCTCCAGCCGACCCAGTGCATCGTCCTCCAACTGTGCCACGTGCGAGTACGACAGATCCAGGTACTGCAGCAGCGGGTAGCTGTCCAGGTCGCCGCAGTTGATGGACTGCAAATGCAAGAGCAGGGAATATATGAAAAGATTTGCATAGGTGATATGCTTGCTTATAAGTGGCATGGGGTAGATAGGTTTGGTTCAATTAAAGCTAGAGTGTGTGAAACAAATTGTGCAAAAAGTGAAGAATTTATTGTGGAAACTATATTTAATTTAACTCAAGTAATTAAAGAAGTTTGTGTATTTTAGATCTTAAATGCATAAATCGTAAATATGTTGTTTTTTAGATATATAATAATTTTTTTTAGATTTACTATTATTATTATTTTTGAATAT